TTAAAAAATGAAACCATAAATTACCAGTAGATAAAAGAGAAAATGCATTTATTTAACTCCCCCAAAAATCACATCTATTAAAAAGTCAAAAGACAAAAGACAGATAGAGGAAATATTTTGTAGTTCACCTCACAAAGGGATAATTCCCTTATTTATATAAAAACATTTACAAATCAATAGGATAAAGATCAACAACCCACAGAAAAATGGTCTAAACCTATGAGCAACCATTTCAGAAGAAAATAAGTATACAATATGAGAAATATAAATCTAATAATAATGCATTTCTTAAAACAAAATGGAGTTTATTTAGGAGGGTGTGAGGAAACTTCCTCACGCACATTTGTTGTATGCTTGGGAACATGTATGAGAACAAATTAAGCAATACAGAAGAATTAAAGGTGAAAAACAATTTCAGGTTCTAGTCAGCTCTTGCCTTAGTCTCACTCTCAAGATGCATCCTCTTTGTATCAGTTTCTGTGTTCTAATATTTACTGCCATCACTTGGGTGATAACCAAATCTGTTCTTTTGGTATCTTACAACATAAAGATGCTGTTCAACTTACAGTGGAATTACTCCATGATAAGCCCATTATAAATCATAAATGCACTTAATACACTATATTTACTGGGCATCATAACTTAACCTAGCCTACCTTTAAACATGATCAGAACACTTGGTATTAGCCTATAGTTGGGCAAAATCATTTAATACAACTCATGACTGACCAGGAGATGCAGTTCACTACCACTGCCCAGCATCTCAGGAGAGTATTATATCACATATTGCTAGCCTGAGAAAAAGATCAAAATGCAATATTTGAAGTAGGGTTTCTACTGAATGTGCATCACTTTTGCACCATTGTAACTGATATAAAATGAATTATGACTGACACATGTTTGGTGGTAAGTAGATGAGTGAGTGTAAAATCACTGGACCAGCAGGTGGCATAATAGTTAAGGTGCTAGACTCCCAAGTGGTCAACTGTGGTTAGAATCCTAGACCCAGAGGGTTGATATTCACACTCAGCATGTGTGTGTTTATGCCCAAAATCTGGAGAGGAGAATGGAGGAGAAAGGTTTGTGGTGTGGCCATCCTCCTGGGTGGTGATTTCTTGCTTTCTGTCTCTTTGTCTCTCTGGCAACCACACACACCCTATAGCAAAAATCTGTCCAACAAAATTGGTTAATATATATATACAAACATAATCATATTAAAGTGAGGAGGTAGGGAACCAGCAGATGGTGTAATAGTTACATTGCCGGACTCCCATGTAGTTAACTGCAGTTTGAGTCCTGGACCTGGAGGCTTAAACTCATGCAGGGCGCTCGTGTGTATATGCCCAAGACCCCAAGAAGAGAATGGAGGAGAAGGGATTGCAGCATATTCATCCTTCCTGGGGGGGGGGGGTGATTTCTTGCTTTCTGTCTCTCTCATGAGTGCACACGCCCTGTAACAAAAATCTGTAAATAAATAAATAAAATAAGGAGGTGGGCTGGCCCCATAGTGCAGTGGTTAAGGACTGTGCATAGAAAGCCAGATCCCACCTGGCCAACCATAATTTGAATCTCAGCCCTGGCATGGGCGTTCTCTCTCTCATGTACCCTCTGGCAATAAAATAAAATGAAATAAACAGCAACAGCTCTCATTTCTATACCTGGTCATATGGTCACCACTGGTACTTATAACTACCTTCTTCAAATACACATTTTTATATTTCCTTTGCCTTCAGCAAGTACCTCAGCTTGTTGTAGTTTGTTTGTGTATTATGGTTTTTTTTTTTTTTTTTTTTTTTTTTGTAGTGCTGTGACTCATATTTTCATTCCTGAAGGGTCTGGGTTCTTGATAGTCGTCCCTGAGTTAGGTTGTTGTAGCATCCCATTGACTTTACCCACAGGACATGGAGTACTGAAAGATGCCTTGGGGGATTCTCCTGTATCCTCTACGTACTTCTGCCTACCCCCATCATGTAGTACCAATCCACTTTTCCCTTTGGTAGTCAAGATCAGTCATCCCAATCAGTATCATAACTGCTTTCTTTGCCTGTTGATTCAAGGCTGTAGGTGACCAAAGTAGCCAAATAACAGTCTCAATTTGCAGTTCAATAAAATAATTACTGTGTTCTACAGTAGTTATTTATTATTACATAACAAATTAGCACACAGCAGCTTAAAACAACATAGATTTATAAGCTCAGCGTTTCCATGGGTCAGAAATCCGGATACAAATATGCTGTTTCTCTGTTAAGATCCACAGAACTGAAACCAAAGTGTTGGATGGACTGATTTTTCATCCGTAGGCTCAACCAGGGAAGAATTTGCTTCTAAGCTCAGACTGTTGGCAGGATTTATTTCCTTTTGGCTGTGTAATTGAGGCCCTAGCTTTGAACTAGCTGAAGGTCACCGTAGCTCCTTGAAGCTGCCTTCTGTTCCCTACCACATAGCCCTCTCCCAGGCAGTTGACAGCATGGCTGTTGATTTTGTCAAAATCAGCAGGAGAATCCCTCCACTCTGTTAAGTCTTATATAATGAAACATAATCATGGTAGTGGCATCCTCTTACTTTTTAAAAAAGAATTATTCACTTATTTATTTAATTCCATTTATTATTATTATTATTAATTTGACCAGAGAGAGAGAGAGAAAGGGAAATCAAGAAAGCAAGCGCCAGGCCCAGGACTTGAACTGCAGTTGGCTGGGAATCCAACACCTTTAGCCACCATGCCATCTGCCGGCCCCAAGCATCCTATTACTTTTGTCATATAATATAGCCAAATCAAAAGTGTGACTTACTATCTTCCCCATATCTAATTGGTTAAAGGCAAGTTACACAACCCATTGACACTCAAGGGGAGTGGATTATACAAGGATATGAATAATTGTAAGTCACCTTAGGTTATGTCTGCAATAATTACTGTGTATATACTTCTCATTTCCAGGCCAAATACTGTCCCGGGAGTACATTTCTAATGTAAAAGCCCAATGTTATGACCTCTAGGTCATCTTGTCATGTTCCTAGCATCAATATCAAATGGATTGTTTTTTTAAATTAATCTCAAAGCCTGTTTGTGCTCCTGTAACAAAATCAATGATACTGGATAATTTATTTTTTTTTAAATTATTTCTTGGGAACCAGCAGTTAGCGTAATGGTTATGTCGCTGGACTCCCACGTAGTTGACCGCAGTTTGTGTCCCAGACCCGGTGGCTTAAAACTCACGCCGAGCGCGTGTGCGTGCGTGCCCAAGATCCCGAGAGGAGAATGGAGGAGAAGGGATTGCGGCGTGACCATCCCCCCTGGGGGGTGATTTCTCGCTTTCTGTCTCTATGTCTCTCTCCGTCTGTCTGGCGAGCGCACGCACCCTACAGTGAAAATCTCTCCAAAAAAAAAAAATTATTTCTTATAGTTCTGGACACTGGGAAATCCAAGATCAAGGTGCTGGTAGGTTTGGTTCTCCGATTAGGGCTGCTGTCCACTTCTAAGATGATGCCTTTTGCCGCATCCCCCAGAGGGAAGGGGTCCTACGTCTCATGTGGTGGAAGGTCAAGAGAACCATCAGTGATGTGTGAAGTCTCTTTTATAAGGGCCTTAATCCCATTCATAGGGGAGAAGCCCTCATGGACTAATCACCTGTTAAAAGCCCCACCATTAAATGTCATCACACTGGCCATTAAGTTTCAACATTTGGGAAGAGATACATTCAAACCACAGCAGTCTCCAATTGTTTAAATTCATGACGCATTAGAATTTGTATTATTGGTTTTGAATACACATATTTATTCTTACCCCTTCCAAACTAAACACGAAAGAGATTTTTAAAGTAGCATAAATTCGTAAGGACAGAACTAGAGAATCAGCAGTAGTAACAAAATTTAGAAAGCAAATGGATAAGCAGTAACTGAAATAGCAGAACTAGCAACGCCAAATTCTAAACTGGCCTTGAAGAAAAATTAGAAGCAATGGAATTTGTACTGTAGAACCCCCAAAGGGGCATCATCATACCTCTTGAAGTGGAGGTGAAAGTGACGCCAAAGTAGGACAGTTTGTATACCCATGTAAGAAATATTTAGATCTTCTCCCCAGTACTCTAGCAGCTACCTTTCCCCTCTAAGGCAGAGATTGGAAGTTTATTCTTGGGAGAGAGTAAAACAGAAAGTCTCTGTACTGGTGAGTATCAAGCACATTTGGGAAAGAAGGGGGTGTCACACTGAAAACAAGGGCTTGGGATAAATAGTTAAATAATAAATATTGACATCCTAGAATGCTAGCAGCCAGGCCTGTCTTTAGAAAGGAGGTTGAAGATCCAGGGAATTTGAGAAGTCAAAGATTTAAGACCTAAAAACACTGAGATTTTTCTTTAATGAAACAACTTCTTAAAAATATGCTACAATGGAACCCACAGTTGATAGGCCTCTGTCAGATCCAGAGTTTCAAATAAACTTCTTAGTACTTGCCTTTAAATTTGAGTAGACAATCAAAGATCATCAAATTTTGAGGTTAATATAGGGCTTTGTAGACAAAATTGAGAAAACTCTTAGAAAATTAAGCAAAAAGACAAACAGAAAATGAGAATGAAAAGAAAATTAGATGAGCAGACCAAAAGATTATTGGATATTGGAGGGATGGAAAAAGTGAATGTCAGGCTAGAGAAAAGGGAAGCTAAATTCTCTGCTTTAATATGGAAAACCAATAAATAATACCCGGAATGTTAAAAAAAAAAAAGGAATAGAAACCTTTTTAGAGATATGAGGGTAAATTTAAAAGAAAACAAGTAAATCAAAAGTAATTGTCTTTTAAGCAGTCTTGTATACAATTCACATAACCTTTTAGCATTTGTTTTCCTCAGACACTCAGTAATCACATGAAGTATTTTGTAAATAATCATGTGTAGATTTCTGAACCTCCCTAGATGGATGCTATATTAAAAATAATAGGTGTGGAGAAATTCCAATTCTTATAGATCTTTAAAGCAAATGACCTTTGGTGTTCTGAAGGAGGCAGTTAGTTGGAAATCCCAACTGCCCATCCCTTAGATCTTCTAAGCATTGTTCTGTACTTGGTGGCAGCTGATTGGCTAGAGGACTGGAGAAAGGGGACAGTTAAGTGGACTGCTAAACCAGCCAACTGTAAAAACACAGCTTCTGATTTGGAGATCTTCTTTTTCAGTCTATATATGGAAGAAAACTTGGGGAAAATATAAAAAAGAAAAGTCACTCTCTCATTCAGAGGTAATTGCAGTAAGAAATATTAAAATAAGATCCCTACTAAATATTGGTTTTGTACCTTGTACTTTGCTGAATTCTTTTATCACTTCTAGGAGTGTGTGTGTGTGTGTGTGTGTGTCTGTGGATTCCTTTAGATTTTCTATGTATATAATCATGTCATTTATTAACAGGGACTGTTTCACTTCTTTCCTATTTGAATGCCTTTTATTTTGCTCTCTTGTCTGATTTCATTGGCTAGGACTTCCAGTACCATGCTGAAAAGGAAAAAATGGACAGCCCTGCCTTGTTCCAGCTTTTCTCCATTCGGCTTGATATTAATTAGCTATGGGTTTGTCACATATGCCTTTTATCATGTTAAGAAATGTCCTTTTAGGGCCAGCAGAGGTGGTATGGTAGTTATGATGCTGGACTCCCACATTGAGTCCTGGACCTGGTGGCTTGCTTTCTCGCTTTCTTTCTCTCTCTCTCTGGTCAAACTGAAAAATAATAAATTTTTTTAATTAAATAATTCATTTTAAAAGAATTAATTTATTTAACATTATTTATTTATTTTAATTTGACCAGAGAGTGACAGAGAGAGAGAGAGAGAGAGAGAGGGAAAATGAGAAAGCAAGTCTCCAGGTCCAGGTCTTGAACCATGGTTGGTCATGTGGGAGTCCAGGATCCTTAACCACCACACCACCTGCCTAATAAAATACTTCTTTTTAAAAAAAGAAATGTCCCTTCTACACCTATTTTGCTAGACTTTTAATCTGAGGATGCTATATTTTATCAAGTGCTTTTTCTGCATTAATAGACATGATCATATAGTTTTTAATCTTTATTTCTGTTAATATGATGTATTGCATTTATTGTTTTGCGTATGTTGAACCATTCTTGCATCCCTGGGATAAAGTCTACCTGATCATAGTGTATAATCTTTTTAATATGCTGTTGGATTTGATTTGATAGTATCTTGTTGAAAATTGTTGCATCTGTAGTCATCAGGGATCTGTAGTCATCAGAGATGTTGGTTTGTAGTTTTCTTTTTTCTTATCTCTGCTTTTTGTATTGATATGATAGAGGCATCATAGAATGAATTTGGGTAGTTTCCTTCCTTTTGGATCTTTTGAAGTAGGATTGGAATTAATCCTTCTTTAAACATTTTGTAGAATTCAGAAGTGAAGCCATCAGGATCTGGGCTTTTCCTTGTTGCGATACTATTACTTTCTCAATTTCATGACTTATTATTGGTCTATTCAGACTTTATAGTTTATCCTGATTCAGTGAAATGAAATATGTGTACAAGAATTGTCCATTTCATCTAGGTTTTCTGGAAGATTTAATGCTAAACTAAATAAGCCAGACTATGAAAGACAAACACTACATGTCCTCACTCAATATATACTAAATGTCTGCACTCTATGGCAGAAATGGATAGACCTGAAGATAGAATGGTAGGGAAGACAAGTGTGGATACTAGACACTATAGGTCAGGGGGGTGAAAAGTGCAGGTGGGTGGGAGATGTTTAGGGAGGTAGCATTTGACAAACATAAGACTGTAAGGTTCACTGATGGAAAAGATGTATATGGTGATATCCTTGAATATGAGGAAAAAAATTAAAAATATATATATAAGGAAAGAAAGTAAAGTAAAAATAAGACCCCTACTACAGTGTAAGTGAGTGTATAATGAAATTGCTATTCCATGAGAATGGAGTATCTACAAATGAACCAGATGACAGAAGAGGTAGGTTCCCTTGCTGGGGCAATTCCCCATGCTTTCTGGAACCAAGGAAGATATATATGTTTGTGTGTATCCCAGACACATGACTTGTATTTGACAGTTATATAAATGACATAGTGATTAAATGGAATGATAACAGAGAGCGATTACTAAGAGGGTAAGTAGGGGAGTGTGATAAAGAAGTTGCTATGGTAATAAAGATATGGATTCAGACATAACATTTATCAAGTGTTTATTCTATATAAAGTAACTGTTAAGTGTTTTAAGTATATTAATTTAGTTTTCACAACAACATTGAGAAGTGGCTATTATCCCCATTGTACTGAATAGAAAATGAACTCAAAGAAGTCAAGTAACTTGCTAAAGATAAAATATTTCAAAGAATAGACCTTATTTTAGGCTAAAGTCTGACTCTTTTTCTCTAGCCGTGAGACAACAGTTGCGAGAAAGTGATGTGGATGGGCCCAGAATTCACAGAGGCCTGGGATGGCAATGGTTGGCCTTGGGCTATTGTGAATTCTGGAGTGCTGCTCTGGTTTTCCTCAATAAAAGTAATACCCAATTCAGGAAAGTTGTAGTATTGAAGAAAATATGAGAGGAATAAGAAGAATGTAGTATACAGCAGAATGATGGGAGACAAATTTAGCAGTTTTGGTGGTAGGTTAAATCTAATTATATACTTCATATCCTTTAAATGTTTAATTCTGTGTCATCTTTGCGTGCTGACTATATCTATTGAAGCAAAAGAGCTTAATTTGCAGCTCAACTGTCACTAGCTAGCAATAAACGCTGAATGTGTTACTTACTGTCTCATATGTCAGCCCTCAAGTACCTTCTATCTCTAAATTAAAAATAAATAAGTACAGGCTAAATTACTAGAATAAGAGGACCCGTGACTACCAGCAAAACCATAGAAAGCCCAAAGATCACTTCTCAGCTCCCTTTTCCTTGAATTAATTAACTCTCTCAAGTTTCCTTTACTTGATGGAAGTATTTTAGTCTTTCAAAGTAAATTCTGAGTTCTTTGGTCAACGAGAGATACAACCAAATCCAATAAATCAAATTACTGATCCAATATTTATTTGAAAGTACTGAATTGAAGCAACTTTGATGATGGTTTAGTAACTGGCAAGTCATGGCTGGCCCTGTAGCACGGAGGCTAAGTAATGTGCCTAGGAAGCTGGAGAGCACCTTGAAAAGCACCTTGAAAAGCTTGCTGGATGTACTTGTATATGCCCAGGATTCCGATGGGATGGTCTATTGGAGGAAAAAGGATGGTGGCATCACCAGGTTCCATTAGGGGGTGTTTTCTCTCTCTCTCTCATGTGCATACATATGTCCTCTGGCACTGAAAAAAAAAATAGGTTATCCGAACTAGGGACCTAGAAGATAATGTTTCAGTTAAAGGGTTGAGAAAAACTGGCAGGTTCTAATAATGGTGGTGTGTGATTTCATTAGAATGTTTAGGAATGAACTGTAAGATATTTCTGGTAATGGCATTATTTTCAGAGTTTAACCACATCAACATCTCCATTTAAAGTGAAACTTACTAGTACATCAGAAATATAATTGAGTGTAGAACCATGCTGACATAGTATTTTTTTTAAATTGGGTAGACCTTCACCAATTATTTGTTTAATGAATGAATAATTGAATGTGCTACAGCACTGAGGATTATAACTCTAAACCTGGAAGCTGATTTTAGCTTTAATAATAATCAGTGAATAAATAGCTTTAGTAAGCTCCAGGTTTCAGAGATTAATAAAAAGGGAGTATTGGGAATGAAACACAAGTTTACAGAAGATGTTCTAGGCTGTTCTCAGTCAAGCTACGCAAGCCCTGGAGAGTCCTTACCACTTCCTGATGACCTGGCATTATCTCTGGCTGGGAGACCAATATCTGGCTGGGAGACCAGTGGGGCTATCTTTGAAGTAATGCTGGACATTTGCCTTACTGAGTTGTTGATCTGATGAGACCACTGCTGCCTCTTTCTGGATAGTATGCTTGCACAGAGAAGGGAAAAAAGCAACAGAGCAAGGGAGCAGGAACGATATATGTAGAACTCTGAAAGCTCAAGTTCTCAGCTAAAGCATGTTGTAATTGGTGGTGGTGGTGGTTGCTCTTACTGAAGCCTGAGGCTGAAACAAGCCTTGGACCAGCCACTGGGGAGATATTGAATGAGAAACTCCTGGTCCATCTCATTATGTTACTGAAAGTCTTTTCCAAAGAAGTCACCCAGAAGTCCAGCAGGCAGACATTAGCTTATTTGACTTATAGAGGCGTTAATGGCAGCTTGGTCAGTGGAGTCTGCCTGATAAAGTTGTTTTTGTTTTTGTTTTTCTTTTTTTTAAAGGATTTTGCCATAGGGTATGTGTGTTTGCCAGAGAAGGAGATGGGGAGAGAGAGAGAGTGAGAAATCACCCCCCAGTGGGGATGGCCACAGCACAATCCCTTCCTTATTCTGCTCCTGGGATTTTGAGCATATATGCACACGGGCCTGGCATGATTTTCAAGTCACCAGTTCCAGGATTTGAACCACAGTCGGTCATGTAGGAGTCCAACATCTTAACCATTATGCCACCTGCTGACCCCTGCCTAATATAGTTTTTTTTTTTAAGAGTTTTTTTGCAATAGGGTACGTGTGCTCTCCAGAAAGACAGAGTGACAGAGAGATAGAAAGCGAGAAATCACCCCGCAGGGGGGATGGCCACACCGCGATCCCTTCTCCATTCTCCTCTTGCACATACGCACACGCGCCTGGCATGAGTTTAAGCCACTGGGTCCAGGACTCGAACTGCAGTTGGCTACATGGGAGTTCAGCAACATAGCCATTACGCTAACTGCTGGTCCCCCTAATATAGTTTTAATGTACTATTTTTTCCTGCTTATCTTGTAAAGACAAGTTGTTTTCTCACAGAACTCAAAATTGCGCTTAAAGAAAACAAAAAATCCAGTTCTCCTTAATAATGAGATGACTATGATGAGTTCAAAAAATCAATAAATGTTTGAGGTTTCTATTGTTCATTAAGAGTATTTAATCAAGCAGGTCAATTTTGAAGGAAGAAAGCATCAGTTACATTTAATTTATTTAGCAGTTGTCAGGAAATACACAGGAATGGAGATTTTACTCAATTTACAGCTGGCAAGTTAGTCCACTTCTGTTTGCTTGAATGCTGGCAAAAGACACAAGACTCTTTAGGTCAGAGACAAAGGAGTTTATTACTCACAATGAAAGTGGTAGCCAGAGTGTCAGTATGATACTTACTCCAGGCCTCCTGCCATAGAGGTAAAATTCATTATGAATGCTGTATTAGTTTGCTGAGGCTGCCTTGACAGAGTACCATACACTGGATGACTTGAACAACACATTTTATTTTCTCATAATTCTGGGGACTAGAAGCCTGAGATCAAGATGTTGGTAGGATTGTTTTTTGTTTTTTTTCCGAGAGGTTTTTTTTTTTTTTTTTTTTTTTTTTTTCTATAGGGGGTGGGCTCCTGAGAGAGACAGAGAGACAGAAAGCGAGAAATCACTGCCCAGGGGGGATTGCCACACCACAGTCCTTTCTCCATTCTCCTCTCGAGATCTTGGGCACACATGCACATGTGCCCGGCATGAGTTTAAACTACCAGGTCCGGGACTCGACTGCAGTCGACTACATGGGAGTTCAGCAACATAGCCATTACACTAACTGCTGGTCCTGATAGGGTTTTTTTTTTTTTTTTTCCTGAGGGCCACAAGTGAAGTATCTGTTCCAGGTCTCTCTCTGGCTTATATATGTCTGTTTTCTCCCTGTCTTCACTTTGTCTTCCCTCTATACATACCTATATCCAAATTTTTCTTTATAAAGATACCAGTATTAGATTTGGATCTACTCTAATAACCTCATTTTAACTTAATTAACTTTTTTTTCCAGATGTTTGCCATAGGGAGAGTATGCTCACCAGAGAGAGACAGAGAGAGGGAGAGGGAGAAATCATCCTCCACAGGGCATGCCATACCATAATCTCTTCTCCTTAATTCTCCTCTTAGAATTTTGGGCATGTGTGCACATGTGCCCAGCATGATTTTCAGGCTGCCGGGTCCAGGACTCAAACCGCAGTCTACCATACAGGAGTCAGTGCTTTAACGACCATGTCATCTGCTAGCCCAACTTAATCAACTCTTTAAAGATCCTATCTTTTTTTTTTTTAATTTTTTTTCTTTTTTTGGAGAGGTTTTTGCTATAGGGCTCATGCGCTAGCCAGAAAGACAGAGAGACAGGGAGACAAAAAGCAAGAAATCACCCCCCCCCCCGGGGGGGGGGGGCCACACGCACAACTTTCCCCGGGGGGGGATGGCCACACTGCAATCCTTTCTCCTCCATTCTCCTCTCGGGATCTTGGGCATGCACGCACATGCGCCCGGGTGAGTTTAAGCCTCCGGGTCCAGGATCAAATCGCAGTCGACTACATGGGAGTCCAGCGACATAGCCATTACGCTAACTGCTGGTCCCAAGACCCTGTCTTCAAATATGATCTCTTTCTAAGATACTAGGGTTTAGGACTTCAACATTGAATTTGAAGGGAACACAATTTATCCCATAGGGATGCTTACACACAAAGTAGGGTGCATTACAAGAAAGAAACACTGGGATTAGGCAATTCATGATGGGCAAAGACTAGTGTTGTGTAGAGGTGTCTTACTTACCTTATCCATCCTTCAAGGTTGCTTGCTACAAACATAACCCTGAGAAAAGGCCTAGGAAGAGTGGTCAGGGGCTTGCATTCTTTTTATTTTTTTAAAGAGATTTTTGCTTTAGTGTGTGTGCCCTTGCTAGAGACAGAAAAACAGAGGCAGTGAGAGGGAAAGGGAGAAATCACCTGCAGGGGGGATGGCCCCACTGCAATCCTTTCTTCTTCATTCTCTTTCCGGGATCTTGAGCACACACGCACAAGAGCTTAGTCACCTATTATGTTGTCTGCTTATGTTCATATAATGGAAAATATTTTTAACTAGAAGAGATTATTTCTTTACTATTTTGTGTCATTTATAGCAAAAGGAACCAAAAAAATATGTTCAGAGTAATTGAATGAAAATAATTTTACTTATTTCAACAGATGGACTCACCACTTACATATGGTACTATTTTACTTTTGAGCATCTTTGAATTTTCATCAGGAATAATATTTAGTAGAGGTAAGTAATAGACTCTTTTGCTATTTCCTAATCAGGAATTCTCATTTATATCTTTTCCTCATTTACAGTTAATGTACTTTTCTTTCAGTATTTCTTTACCTTACCTTCTAATTGTTCCCAAGTATTTTCTATTATACTCTGGTCTAGAGATTTTTTTAAGTATTATTTATTTTATTTATCATTATCATTATTATTTTTAAAATTAGCTACAGGGCACATGCAGTCACCAGAGAGAAACAGAGGGAGAAATATAGAGAAAGTAAGAAAACAAGTTGTCAGATCCAGGACTGTTATTAAGTTATATGTGTAAAGACTTTACTCTTGTTATAGGATTTCATCACTTATGAGTCATAGAATATTTGAAGTTTAAAGAGAATTTTATACTTGCAAAACTTTATTTGAATATATTGGGTCATCAGGAAGTCATGACTCATTTTTGCATAGAAAAATATGTCATGACTTTCCTGATGACCTAATGTCAGAATAAAGGAAGAATTAAATTTTTTTTTTCTTTATGCATGAGAGGCCAGTAGATTGAGACTGAAGAGAATTTTCTGAAAGCAATTGAATTAGTCAATAAGACCTTTGTGGTATAAAAACTTTTTTAAGGAACACAAGACAAATCCCTTTCCATTTCTGCAGACTTTTTTATATTCCGCAGTATCCTGGAATGGGTCCAGGAATATAGCAGATGCTCCAAAAAAATTCTTGACTGAATGGAATGAAAGGATTCAGACCTTCTAGTCATTGGTGTGTTATAGAGTTGGATGGTCCTCCTGTGATGACCCTGGTTTTAGTCCCCATGTTATACTACAGAATATCTGACACATATCTGGCTATAATCTAGGATGGTAGGTTTACTGACAAACTTCTGAGTTTGTTTTTGTTTGCTACAGAGTATGTACACTCTCTGGGGAAAGAGAGAAAGAAAGAGGGAGAAATAGAAAGTAAAAAAGCATCCCTCCCAAAGTGGATGACAATGTCACAATCCTTTTACCCTCATTCTCTTCTTTGGATTTTGGGCACACATGCACATGTGCTCAACATTTTTTTCATGCCACTGGGCCCAGGACTCAAACTGTGCCATCAGCCAGCCATGTGGGGTCCAGCTACCTTAACCACCTTGCCATCTGGGTGACCACAAACTTTTGAGATTTTAGAGAAAGAAGAAGTTGCTTCTAGTGCAGGGCAAGATGTGGGGTTAAGAGAGGCTTTGTGTAAAAGAGAGCAATCAATCTAGGTCCTCCAAATGGGCGATATTAATCTATGGGGGGAAAAGTCCTACAAAGACATCAGGATAAGTGACGAACAATGTCATGGAGGTAGGAAATGACAGAATATTTAAAGAGAGCAGTAATTTCATTTTAGAATTAAGGGGTAGGGGACCAGCAGTTAGCGTAATGGCTATGTCGCTGAACTCCCACATAGTCGACCGCGGTTCGAGTCCCGGGCCCAGTGGCTTAAACTCACACTGGGCGCGTGTGCGTACATACCCAAGATCCAGAGAGGAGAATGGAGGAGAAGGGATTGCGGTGTGGCCATCCCCCCTGGGGGTGATTTCTCACTTTCTGTCTGTCTCTCTCTGTCTTTCTGGTGTGCGTATGTGCCCTATAGCAAAAACCTCTCTAAATAAAAAAGAATTAAGGGGTAGAAGAAGTAAAATAATTTGGAAAGAAAAGAGGCTGATGTATGTCAGGCCTAGGAATTTGGGCTTTAGTCTACATTCATTGAGAAGCTATTTAAGATTACTGGATAGGGGAATGACATAGCTATACTTTAGGAAGACTGTTACGGCAGCACTGGATAGGAAAGACTTTTCTATGCCCTCTTAGGTTGTGTGAGGCCTAGGAATTGAACTGGAAAAAGACACATTAACAGGAGAAAAATGCATACACATTTTATTTGATGTTAATATTTCTACAGGACATGGGGGCTTCATAAGTAGAACTAAAAACTCAAAATAAGTGGTTAGATCCAGAAACTTATATACTATTTGAACAGGGAGCAGTAAATGGTGGAAGTGGGCCAAGATGAAGGAGAAAGGGGTTTGGGCTAAGGATGATAAATTGTGGGAAAGTGTAGGTAGTATATTGGAAAAATCGATGAAAGGTGAGAGTTATTTTAGTAAGGTTTATTTATATAGGTTTGTTTCAGTGTTGACTCCCATCTCTGATGACCAGAAAGGTACAGAGAAAGCAATTTTCTCATGGGAAATTTATGTTCTTCTTTTATGTAAAAAGGGGAAGGGCATAGAGTTCTTACTGTGTCTGCTGTTTCTCAGTTGCCTTTAGCTCAAAATAATCAATATGCCAAAGTGGCATATTATGGGGTTCCATGTTCTGATCCCTGCAGCAGCATTGTGTAAAATGTATCAGTGGAGAGAGAAATGGGAGGGACTTTTACTGGTTCTGGTTTCAACCTCATTGCTGTAATTTTTTTTATTTTACATTCATTCACTGAGCATCATCACAGGATACAAAATGTGATTTCCCATCCACAATACACTATATAGTGGCTTAGTCATACCTGTTATCATAAGCAAATAATTTTCCATTTCTTTTATATATATATAAACACACACACACATATATATATATATATTCCCCCCATTTCTCACTCTCTTATTTCCCACCCTCCTCCTACATTGTCTCTGGTATCTGAAGTTGCTTTACATTCTTCCTCCTTACACACACATTTTATTTATTTATTTTATTTATTTATTTATTGAGAGGTTTTCACTATAGGGCGCGTGCGCTTGCCAGACAGACAGAGAGAGACAGAGAGACAGAAAGCGAGAAATCACCCCCCGGGGGGGATGGTCACGCCACAATCTCTTCTCCTCCATTCTCCTCTCAGGATCCTGGGCACGCATGCACACACCCCCGGCATGAGTTCTAAGCCACCAGGTCCGGGACGCCAACCGCGGTCGACTACGTGGGAGCCCAGCAACATAACCATTACGCTAACTGCTGGTTCCCCACACACATTTTATTGATGTGCAAAATATCTTAATTAATCTAACTACTTTCAGTAGCAAGTTCAGCCGATATATTCATGTCTGTGAATACATGTTGAAACTCTGAATAGAATTAGTGTGATATAAAGTAGTACATAGCTGAGGCTATATAGCTTACTGTGGTCATTAAATAGTTTCTCTTTAAAAAATTTTAAAGAATTATTTATTTAATTTAATTTATTCATTCATTCATTTTATTTTATTATTTTAATTTGACTACAGTGAGACACACAGAAGGAGGTGGAGAGGGAAAAAGCAAGCCACCAGATCTGGGACTTGAACTGTGGTTGGTCATGTGGGAGTGTCCAGCACTTTAAGCATTACGCCACCTGCTGGTCCCCTAAATAGTATTTTTAAATATATTTTTTAATTTTAAGAAAAGCAGTTTTAGCTTTAATAAATCAAAATCAAAAAATGTTAAGAGAACTTTGCTTAAGACTTAAAACCAGGAAATAGGTTAGGATTCTTTTCAAATAATAGGTACATGAACCTATTGACAGCTCAAGAGAAGAAAAAAAAAATCCTTAAATCTGGAAAACAAAGCATAGAAGAAAATCAGTCTCATATAGTTTATCTTCTGTTGTGGTCCCATCTTTCCATTTAAATTCTGGAAGAAAACACTCAACTCCAGACTTGTCCCTACCATTAAGTTAGCCGTTTTCTTAGTTGTTTTTGAACTTTTATTTCTGTGTGTCTGTATTTTGTTCTCCTGATATAGTTCTCCCTTTAGAACTTCTTAGAGAAGTGATTGGACTTTAGACTCAAATTACATCTTTAAAAAAATAGGTCTGGTGGTACCAGCACGTGGCATAGTAATTAAGGTGCTGGACTCCCACATGGCCAACTACAGTTCAAGTCCCAGACCTGGCAGCTTAAAAAAAATCATGCCAGGCACGTGTGCATGTGTGCCCAAGATCCCAAGGAGGAGAATTAAGAAGAAGGGATTACAGCATGGTCATCCTACCTGGTGGGTGATTTCTCATTTTCCTTTTCACTCTCCTCTCCAGCAAACGCATGCACCCTAAAGCAAAAATCTTAAAAAAAAAAAAAAGGTAGCATTAACAGTTTATGACAAAGTGAATGTATGAGTTGAAAGTACTTTGAAAACCGTTTAATATAACCTCAAGACATTTTCATCCGTATCTGTGGTACTTGCATAGATATGTTAACTCACAGAATTTTAAGAATAGCATTGAAACCATTATAATATACAAACAGGATGAATAATATGTAGTTATAAAATAAATTTATTTTTATTTCCTTTTAAAATTCAACCCTCAATGTAGTTCTTCCTCTGTCTCTGTATGAGTATTTGGGCTTCCCCAAGGCTCTTTTTTTTTTGGAGAGGTTTTTGCTATAGGGCGCGTGCGCTCGCCAGACAGACAGAGAGAGACAGAGAGACAGAAAGCGAGAAATCACCCCCCAGGGGGGATGGTCGCCACAATCCCTTCTCCTCCATTCTCCTCTCAGGATCTTGGGCACGCACACACACGTGCCCGGCATGAGTTTTAAGCCACCGGGTCTGGGATGCGAACCATGGTCGACTACGTGGGAGTCCAGTGACATAGCCATTATGCTAACTGCTGGTCCCCAAGGCTCTTTGTAAAAATTTTTTGAGGTTACTATTAGGCTTTTGAGCATCCTCCAAGCATTTCACACTTCAAAACACAGCTTTGGAATTAAATACCCAAGCCTCTGTAATAGTAAAAATCAAACTCTTGTTTTATTATTGAATCTTCTTCCTTTCTTTCCATCTTAGCCTGTACTGAGAAGACTAGAGTTAAGGAAGAATGACTAAGATCAGCTTTTAATTTTTTCCCACTTAATGTTTAGGTTTCTTCTCAGTGCTTTACTAGCTTTGGGTGTTTTGGTTTTGTTTTGTTTTTCACTTTTGTTAGAGAGTGTGTTCACTTGCCAGAGAGAAAGTGAGAAAGCATGCCCTATGGGAGATGGTCATGATGTGATCCTTTCTCTTCCATTTCTGCTTTCAGGACTTTGGGGCATACACACACACACACACACACACACACCTGCCTTGTTTTTCAAACTGCCAGTCCAAGACTCAGCCACATAGTCAGCAAATGTAGGATCCATCTACTTTAACCACCATGCCACTGGCTGGCTCCTCTATCTTAGGTTTAGGTTTAGACCCTTCATACTCCGAGGGAGGGAGACACAATGGGGAGGGACGTAGTTCTTACCTAAATGATTCAGAAGTGACTGGCTAGCATTTGCACTTTTGGGATCCAGCAGATGTGTAAAGTTGCTCCTTGATCTCTGAGCAATTTAACAGGTCCTTTGTCACTCCCTGTCCTCCAGTACATTGTCAAGAATCTCTTATCTATAGTCCTAGCAAAGGCAAAAACTTCTCTATTCTCACTGGCCAATTTTTCTTTTGTCTGCTCCTAAAAATCTGGCTATGCTTTCAGATTCTCTCTGCTGAGATTTGAGAACAGGACCCTAAGCTCATTCTTCTTCACAAGTGTCCTATGTCTGGGTCACAAGAAGGGTTCATGTATCTTTTGCCTAGTAAATTTTGTTTGTGAAGGACTCCCAATTTAGATATGTCTTTTTTTCCCCTATAGTTTACATAAACATTTATTTGACCAAATTGTAGAAAAAAATGACACTATATTATGTGATTCAGTTGAAAGAACCTAATGTGTTTATTCCATTGCACAATCTGCTAGTGTATCTCCTGGTTAGTGTGATCTTTAATAAATAGGAGTGAGGGGCAGAGGATTCAGATATTCTGGAAGCAGGGTGGTTTTTATTCAGAATGGTAAACTTGAGTGGGCCCCCACACTGTTACCGATGTGGAATGTTTCAGCTCTGAGATATCAACTGAGAGCAGAAATATAACAAAGCCAAAATGTGCAGCCCCAAACAAAATACTCCATATCCAGTTTAACCAGGAGTTTCTTGGTCTTTTAACTTGGTCCCAAAGAAGGAATTAAAGTCCCAGGTAAGTAAATATTCAATTTGCCATCCCTGAAGCATGGAGATGAAATCAATCATTCTTTTTTAAATTTCTACTTTGATTCCAGAAAAATTCCTTCTGCAGAATTTTGTTAACAGACAAAACTCTTTTTGCTCGATTTACTGATGGCTAGCAGTCTTTTTCATTTGACCTGAATAGGGCTGAACCCCACCCTGCTGAGTAGATGGCCTTAGCGCAGATAAACATATGGCTCCTTGGTGGAATACAACATGTGGTCTTCACAGAGTAACTAAAATGAAAGAAATATGCGGAAGAGCATAACAGGATCTGTCTAGAAAATGTCCGGGTAATCACTATGGCTATATCCTATGCATTCTCATGCCGATGCTCAGAGGATGTTTGTTCTGCACGGTGGGGTGTGGAGAAGGGCCAGGATGACGAAGTTTATCTGGGATTTGTGACTTCCCACAATAGTGTGCCCACTCTTTCTTTTGCTCTGGATGGAAAATTCCCACCTATGTAATGTTCCATAGTCTTCTGTCGTTTGACCAACAGTGACCTAGAAGGTTATATTCTTCAGCGCTTTAAACTGATCTATGACTACATATCGGAGTCTGTTCTTGAAAGTGTGGAGTCTTCTTTTCCCTTAGGAACTAGATTGCCTCCATCTGAAGAGTATGCTTACTATGAAATACCCTACCTACCTGACGGATAAGTGCAACTTACAGATAAAAATAGAGCTGAAAAATCTGGTGCCGTTTGAAAGAAGGAAGGAATTAGATTTAACCAGTGCTCAAAGCTTCTGAGATACAAAATGTTTGGTAGATAAGTTGCTCGATGTTTCCAGCAAAGTGAAGATGCCATAAGAAAAGAAACTTCTTAGAAACACAGGGCACTCTGGAGTTTCTGTTGGAACAAGACTCTTCTGTTTTGGTTATATACAATTAAGTTCATTTAGTGTCTAATCCAGTGTCTGATGTAAGCCCATGTTCTCTTCTTTGGCCCAGACAAGTGTTTCTTCCAGGTCATCGATTGTCTATTTCAGTTTGGCAACCATTTTCTCCACAAATTTAGCACAGGTCTCAGCATCTTTCAGTTTGTCAGAAAGGAGTTTCATTTCTTCTTCATATTTGTCCTCCTATTTAAATACTTTTCAGATGCAGTCTCGAGTGATTTCAGATTATTAGTGACATTTTCGAGTTCTTCTTCCAGGTTCACCACATTTTAGTTCAGACACCTCTGCAAACTCCTCTGCTCTTTCCAGCTCACTTTCCAGGATAACGGATTTATGAACTACCGCCTCCTACAGTGTGCTTAACCTCTTTGACCGGCATCTCCTGAATCTCCATCTTCTCCTCACCTAATGGCGGGGTTTTCAATCACCTTCCTTCCTTTCTCGCGCTCATCCACACCCTTTCCTGTCTCCCCCAGCTTCTGCAGGGCTGTGGCCAGCCGTTCTCGAGCCCTGTCTACTTCCTCCCCAACAAACTGGATGGGTCAGCTGAGAGCTGCTTCCTGCCCCTGGCTGTGCTACCATTAGGACTATACGTCACCCAGTCCCACTATCTCTTTCTCGTCAACAATCTCCTTTCCTACCAAAATCATCTCTTACTCTTTAGACTTTCTATGCAAGAGGCTGGGTTTGTGTTCTAAACTGCAGGGCTATAAGTTACAATTTGAATATACCATTAAAGTTTCTTCCTCAGACGCAAGGTGAAGCGAAGGGACCGTCTCTCAACATCCTCTTATCAGTAGCTCTCTCTAACTCCAGACTCTGATTTATGACCCTTATAAAACCTTCCTCAAAGGTGAGGAGTTGAGGAGTCAAGAACTAATTTTTCTCTCTACTTCTGGAAATTTTGCAGCAAGGTCTAACGTGTGATATATTTTATCTTAGTGCTTCAGTCAAATCTTCCTTTTTCTTGTGTTGACATAACATTTTTAAAAAGTGAAAAAAAGGGAAAATTTCAATTTTATCTATAATAAAGTGAATTTAAAATATAGAAGTGTAGGAGCCAGCAAGTGGTGTAGTGGTTAAGGCATTGGATCCCATATGGCCAACCCCTGAGACCCACAGCCTGAAAAGCACTGCAGGCATGTGTGCATGAATGTTCAAAATTCCAAGAGGACAATGGAGGAAAAGGAACTGCAGTGTGGCCATCCCCTCTGGGGGAGGGGGTGATTTCTCACTTTCCCTCTCTGTTTCTCTCCCGTAACCACACACACACAATGGCAAAAAAAAAAAAAAAAAAAAAAACTTTAATAATACTTAAGTGATCTCTCTCTCTCTCTCTCTATATATATATATATATATGTATACATATATATATTTATATAAAATACTGGGTCATTGGAAAAGTCATGACATTTTTAACTATGTCTTTCTATGCAAAAATGCGTCATGACATTTTTGGTGATCCAATGCATATTATAAAATAAAATATGTATGTCCTATTTATCTATATGTATATGTTATTTAGGTTATATGGAGAAACGCTTTGCTTGTGCTAGCCAAGGATTTCCCAGGAGGAATAAAATGATCAAGTTGTATCTTACCTCAGAACACTTGGTAAGGTCTACTGAGAGTATGTATTATAACCCTTCACATTCCTTTCAAGTCCATGTATAAAGCCAATAGCATTGTACTCTTTTCAGATACTTTCTACTATGTTCAGACTTGGAGAGATGAAATTCTAATAAGGTGATACACTTTTCTATACTTGCTATTCCACATCCATCTGGGTCAGGTAAAATTTGACATTTAGCTATTGATCACTCTGGTGGTTTTACTTTGTTGTTGTTGTTGGGGGGGTTGCTTGTTTGTTTTTGAATATTAGATATAGTAATCATTTTTTATGGAGTTATTTGTTCTTTTGAAGTTTGATAGATGCACCTGTTAGAGAAAAAACTTACCTCACATGACCTTCAGGAAGTCTTTTCCTTGTATAGCAAGTAACAGATTGCAGTTGTCACTTCGGTTAAAGAATGTTAAGATCCTTTCATTCAAATAATCGGACATTAAATACACACACCCCCCAAAATAAAACAATAGCTATTAAGATAGCCATTCAGAAAACAGGTACTAGGCAAGGCTGGACACTTTCTCCACTGCTCTTTAATATAGTACTGGAAGTCTTAGCTATTGCAATCAGAGAAGAGAACAATATTAAAGGCATTCGAATAAGCAAAGAAGAGTTGAAAATATCTTTATTTGCAGATGACATGGGTCATCTTAGAAGACCCAAAGGTATCCATGAAAAAACTTCTTGAATTAATAAGTGAATACAGTAAGGTGGCAGGATACAAAATCAATATCCAAAAATCTATAGCATTTCTATTTATGAACAACAAGTTGAACGAAGCAGAGCTGAAGAAAGGGATCCCTTTCACCATAGCCACAAGATGTATAAGATACGTAGGGATAAACTTAACTAAGAAAGTCAAAGACCTTTATAAAGAAAACTATGAAAATCTTAAAAAAGATATTGAAAATGACATAAAAAAGTGGAAGAACATCCCATGCTCCTGGATTGGAAGAATTAACATAATCAAAATGGCAGTTCTACCCAAATTAATCTGCATGTTTAATGCAATCCCAATTAAAATACCAGAAATATTCTTCGCAGATCTAGAAAAGACAATCATAGAATTTGTCTGGAATCATAAAAGACCTCGTATTGCAAAAGCAATCCTGCACAAGAAGAATGGAGTAGGAGGCATATCACTCCCTGATCCCAAGATATACTATAAAGCCGTGGTCATCAAAAC